CTTTATCAAAATTTAAAAACCTTCATGCATCAAAGGGCAGTCAGAGCGAAAAGATAACCCAAAGAATGAGAGAAAATATTTGTGAATGGTTTATCTGATAAGGGTTTAACATCCAGAATATAAAAAGAACTTCTACAATTTGACAACAACAAAACCCGATTTAAAGGACTTAAATAGAAATTTCTCCAAACGACGTCTATGGATGGCCAATAAGCACACAGGAAGATGCTCAGCATCGCTAGTCATCACTGACACACAAATCACAACGAGATGTAACTTCACATGCACTAGGGTGCCTGTTTTTTTTAAAAAAAACCAACAAAAAACAGAATAACGAGGGTAGTCCAGGCTGTGGAGAATTGGAAACCTGGTACATATTGCTAGAAGGAATGTAAGATGCACAGCAGCTGTGGATGCAGTTCCTCACACAATTACAGGTATTGATCGACTTACGACCTATGCAACTTACGACCATTCGACTTTACGACCACAATCACAATCCACGACTGCTCCACATCTGGCAGCGCAAACGTTGCCCAGCTGGGCCTACGACAGTGCGGATCAGCTTCCGGCAGCACTACCATCTCCGCGTGCACCATTTCAACTGTTATCCCAAACTCGGTACAGCAATTTGTGTTTTGTGTCTTGGATATTTTTCATCAAACACCTCCCAATAAACTTCTTATACATTTAGAAGCAATGGACCCAAACATCGAACGAATTTGCAAGGATTGAACGGATGGCACACGATGTGCTTCCTCCGTATCGTGAAATTTATGAAGAAAAAAAGAAACATACAATTCAGACAAAGCTCACCATGTTTATGAAAAAACCAACTCCGGTAACCCCAACTGCTGCCTCAGATGACGACATCAACGATCCTCAGCCAAGCACCAGCGGGCAATAAAATGTTTCGTACATGTTTATATATTTTGATATGTTTTACAATTGGGAAAATGTTTCCTATGGTATTTTTTACACCTGATTTTGTATTTTTGTATGCACCTATATTTTGTAATTTTGTATGTTTTGCAAATATTAAACCAGTTGTACCGGTAATGCAGTGTTTTACTTAAACCTGACGAATGTAAAAATAAGAAACAAAATGGTGTAGAGATGATATAAATGACATAAAATGAACAAAGAAAATTATGATATGTAACAATAATGAAAGAAAATTATGATAAAATATGACTTAAAGATTTTTATAACATCATTTCACGGTACTGTACATATAGCCTACTCAACTTACGACCAAATCGTGTTACGACCGGTCTGTTGGAACCGATCGTGGTCGTAAGTCCAGCACTAGCTGTAAACACAGAATGACATTTGACCCAGCAATTCCACCTTTAGGTATACACACAGAATTGAAAGCAGGGACTCACACAGTTATTTACACACCAGTGTCAACAGCAGCATTATTACCAACAGCCCAAATGTCCATAGCAGATGTATGGATAAGCAATGTGGTAAAGACATTCACTGGGAAGATTATTTAGTCTTAAAAGGGAAGGAAGTTTTGACTCATGCTGCAACTGGATGTACCTTGAAGGCAATAGGCTAAGTGAAATAAACAAGACACAAAAAGGCAAATATTGTATGATTCCATTTACAAAAGTATCTAGAGTAGTGAAATTCAAACAGAAAATAGAACAGTGGTTGCAGGGACTGGAGGAAGGAAGGAATGAGGAGATGTTTAATGGTTACAAAGTTTCAGTTTGGGATGATGGAAAGGCTCTGAAGATGGCCGCACAGCACTGTGAAGGCAATTAATGCCACTGAATCATACCATTAAAAATTGTTAAAATGAGGCCAGTGCAGTGGCTCACACCTGTAATCCCAGCACTCTGGGAGGCCGAGGTGGGCGGATCACCTGAGGTCAGGAGTTTGAGACCAGCCTAAGCAACATGGAGAAACCCCATCTCTACTAAAAACACCAATTATCTGGGCGAGGTGGCACATGCCTGTAATCTCAGCTACTTGGGAGGATGAAGCAGAATTGCTTGAACCCAGGAGGAGAGGTTGCAGTGAGCCAAGATCGTGTCATTACACTGCAGCCTGTGCAACAAGAGCAAAACTCCATCTCAGAAAAAAAAAAATTGTTTTATTATGCATATTTTCTCACAAAAAATGGGAAAAAACCAAAACACAACAAACCTAGATCTTCCACCCCTCTTAACAAAAAAGTTACAGACCATTTGGTGTAAATGTATGAAATATCCTTCCCTCTACCTGCCAGTTGGCAACCTTATTTTAGAATGTCCATACTTTGCTTAAGGCAAGATTTAAAAGATTTCTCCAAATACCCACCCAATCAAAGTTTACCTGATATTCAATAATAAGGTACCATCCCCATATATGAAATGCTAAGTCTCATAATAAAACACCTTTGGCATTTAAATATCCAACATCTCAAGCTTTTGTCTTATTAAATGATTATAAAAATGTACAATACTTTAAAACCATGAAATAAATTAGGTAAAATTAAGGCGACACAAATAAAATACAATGTCCTTACTCTGAATAATGACCTTAAGAAATATCTGAGTCTGGCAAAATACTAGATACGAGGAGTCAGTGCCAAGGGCAACCAAGCTGATGCTCTTTCCCATTAGTGGGGTAAACTCTGAAGCCTCCAGAGAGCTGAATCAGGCCCCATGTCTTTCTTCTTTGCTCAAACATTAATTTCTAACATGGCGGGCATGTCACCAAATGATAATAAATAAAGCAAGTTCACCTGTTTTGTTAAAAAAAAAAAAAGAAACAATCTAGTACATCCACGAATAGGAAACCACACACACCTGAACACATCGATGATGAAATAGGAATATTTAATGGCAAGGAATGATATGTACACTCGAGGTTCAATGTTTTCAAAACATATCCAGCACTTATGGCTGCCTGTGTAGAGTAAAAAAGATAGAAAGGTATAACAGAGAATAATTTTTACAACTTATAAAGTTTAATGCAATTGAGAAAGGTTTCTATAAAAATTGTTAAAATATTTTAGAGGGCAAATGCTTACTTTGCATAGCAATGCTTCAGTTACCTGGAATGCCCTCTCTACTTTCTTCCAAGCAAATTTTATGAAGTACTAAGCTCAGTGGCTCTGCTGCAAGTGCCAACAAGGTGAACAACCCAGTTCTTCCTCTCATGGAACTTGCATTCTGGTGGAATTTATTTTTGCAACATACTTGCTGACAATATCAAATGAATAATCCATTAGCATTGAAAAGTAGTTTCACACTCTCCAGTCTGGTCCTCATTTTGATATGTCTTCCCATGAGATGGATGCAAACTCATAGCAATAACTATGCCTATACATACAGCCACATGCCACATGACGTTCAGTCAATGATGGACCACATATATGGCGGTGGCTCCACAATATCGTGTTTTTGCTACGCCTTTTCTATGTTTAGATACATAAATGTTTACCAATGTGTTACAAATGCCTACAGTAGTCAGTAAAGTCACATGTTGGGGGAAGCAGCAATGGAGGAAGGGTTTACAGTGTGCCTACATAAACTGGTTATAAGTAATGTATAAAAGAAATCAGGAACAGTAAACTGTGGAAAACCTTAGGAGACCTCTGGGGAGGAAGGCCCCTCTATTGCCAGCACGTTCCCAAGTACAGAGTGACCTAAGCTCTGATGTTTTAAACATAGTGCCCAAGGACATAACACCCCCTTGAAGCACTGGAATGTAACCAGCTGCATTATCTATGGATAAGCATATGCTTTTAGCTCTTGAGAAACTCACATAAACTGCCACTGCTATCAATCTTATATTTGGTGCACAGCCTCCCTTTCACTGATTCACCCTGCCATCTGCTCTATAGATTGTATTCAATAAATATTGTGGAAACCAGAGCTTGGGGCCTTTGCAGTCTCCTGTTCGCTCTGGCCCCCTGGTCCCACTTTATGCATTTTTAACCTTTTTCTCATTCCTTTTTTTGCCACCGAAATTGGGGTATCCATGGGTGGTATGTGGGGGCTGGTACCCTACAGTTACATGCTGTCCAGGCTTGTAGCCTAGGAGCAATAGGCCATACCATAGAGCCCAGGTGCACAGTAGGCTGTACCGTCTAGGTTTGTGTGTCACTCTATGATGCTTACACAGTGACAAAATTGCCTAATGATACATTTCTCAGAATGTATCCCCATCCTTAACTGATGCATGACTGTATTTTACTAACCTGGCCATCTAGGACTGTCACCAATAAAAATTCTACGTGGGAAATGCTATTTATTGTTTCTTTCAGACATTAGAGATTCCTTAACTTTAGTTTTAAATAATCTTGATATACAAACTTATTTCTCTTGTTCTCCAAATATGATAAACCAAGATTTTTAATATTAGCAGGTAAGACTTCCACCTACATATATTGTCTTGCACCTACATATATCCGCAACTGTGCTTAAATATTCTTTTATTTCCCCATTGCTAAAGGATTTCATTCTTCTGGCTAAAATATAAAACTATACAATTATAAATACTTATTTGCAATGCTTCTCTTTGAACAAATTTGCTTGTTGTATAAGACACTTGCTGATCACCTTGTAAACTACTTAACTGTAAAACATGGTATGACTTAGAGTGCCTTGTATATTTTAGTTGTAGTTTTACATTTCAAAATGTATCAATTATGCTATATAACAAATTAGTTTTAAATTATTTTATAATTTTGATGGGCTATTTGTCTGTCCCCAGGCCTATCAGCATACTAGATGATGAAATTCATAATAGCTCTTGAGGAATAGAGGAACATTTACACGCAGAGTTGCTCAGAAAGTTCTGGGCATGTTCCAGCTGTCACTTCCCAGGTGGAACCAGCCCTGACGGGATCCTCACATCCTCTTCCCTTCTTATGAGACACGACACTGAGCACCTGCCCACTGACAGGTTTAGGCTTTTAGAAAATCTCTCAGACTAGGCCAGCTTCTGACAATCCTGCCAACCCTCTTTGGCCCGTATGATGCTGTAAAGGCAATGTGGTACTCATCTCAGCAGCGCACATACTAAAACTGGAACCACACAGAGGTCAGCATAGACCCGTGCACAGATGACACACAAATTCATGAAGTGTTCCACATATGTATATGTATATTTTTTGAAACAGGGTCTTGCCTTGCTACCCAGGCTGGAGTGCAGCATGCTATCATGGCTCATTACAGCCTCCACCTCCCAAGCTCAAGTGATTCTCCTACCTCAGCCTTTCAAGCAGCTGGAAATTCAGGTGCACAGCACCACACCTGGCGAATTTTTGCATTTTTTGTAGAGATGAAGTTTCACCATGTTGCCTAAGCTGGTCTCAAGTTTCTGGGTTCAAGTGATCCTCCTGCCTTGGTGTCCCAAAGTGCTGGGAATACAGGAGTGAGTCACTGTACCCAGCTGTGTTCCATATTTCTACATACACCTGCACACATGGAGTATATGTTGGGGAAAGTAAAGCTGGGAAAATGTGAATAAAATCAGTGGGCTGTATTGATGTCAATATCCTGATTGTGGTATGTGTGAAATGTTACCACTGAGAGAAATTGGGCAAAGTATACAATGTATGTGACTCTATGATTATATCATATAGGATTTGATTGCACATAACTATATCAACATATAATCATAAAATACATACATAACCTATATAATAGTATGATTACATCAATATAATGTTCAATTTTAAAAAGAGTAATGTAGCTAGGCAGGTATAATGCATGAGCATAATACAGGAAGCCTACCTCACCGATACATACAATTTCCTAGGTCTCTGCACCTGAGACAACAATCTCCTGGTCTAAAGCTTTAAAAAACTACTTATTATTACCTCATCACTATACTAATGTGCAAAACATATGAAATAAGATAGGAAATGTCCACGAGGGCCAGTGATCAAAGGAAATAACAGACAAAAAAACCCAAAAAACAAAAAACACACCCTTCTCTAAAAGTTTACATGAGAGCTGAGGGTTCAAGTGAATATTTCTTTCCCTTCTGGAAGATGCCTCATGAAGGTGGTAGAATACATAATTATCCACAAAGAATTGTCAGGCATTCATCCCTAGTGAAAACTACTAAGCCACAACTAACAAAAAAAATATTTTAATGATATTTTTATAGTACAAATAATTAAACTGAGGCAGACAGTGGGAAGTAGGAGAATCTACATAGCCACAGCTATAGCACTTTAAATCTTGACAGCCCCAGGTGCTGAGAATGCTCCCGGGTCCCAGCAGCCCAGGCTTCTCTGTTCCTCCTCTCACAGGCACAGCCTGGGTAAAGACATACCTTGGGCTGTTGCCCCGACTTGTCATTCACAAGCATTCCAACTGTGATGTTTGAAACCGTCTACCTCTGGTGATCCAGGGACAGTCCCTCCAGTCCAAAGGCTCACTGCAATTGCCCCTCAGCCCCCTTCAAACTGGACTTCTGGTTTCTTCTTTCCTTCTGCCCCTGAATTCGGAAGAGCTTCTTCCTGAGGTCCTTCTGCCGCTTCAGCTTCTCCTCTTCCTCCTTCTGCTTGGCTCTGAAGTGCTCTTTATTGTGCAGGTGCCGCTGCTCCTTGGCCTTCTTCATCTTCTGACTGTGCACCGTACTCAGAGCATCCAGCAGCGCGAGGATCTAACAAGGACAAAAGCCAGTGAGCATCAAAATGCTCTCTCAGTCACTGCACACTCGCATCCTAAGCACTGAGACTAGGGGCAACCCACGATCCAAATGAATATTAACTGCACGAAAATGCATCCTGCGCTAGGAAGTCATTGTTGGCATGGAGACACAGATGTGATTGCATTTTACCTTTAACACCGCTATTTATCATTCTGTGGACACTGTACAGCTAACCAAGACAGAAGGGTTCCCCAGCCGTGTGTCTGTTATCCTGCATTCAAAAGCACAGGCAGAGCAGGACCAGGCAAAGGAAGGGAAATGGACTCTGGTTCTTCCTCTGACTTTGGTTTCAGTGCCCTGAATAACTGAGACTGCAGTAGAAACATGAAGTGTGCTGCTGAGGAGTGTTCTCTTCCTACCTAAATGCAGCGTGCAGTGCGGCATGGGTGACAGTACCTTTCTTTCATGAGGCTCGCGTACGACGGCTGGTCTCCGCCTGTCCTTTGGCACCTTGCCTGCCTTTGCTTGGGTCTTGGGCTTGTTCTTAAATGGCAGGGCCTTCTGCAAGGCTTTTGGAATGTGCAGTGAATTAAAATGTTTCTTTTGCCTCAGGATTGGCTGAAAAGAAAAATAAAGACTGTGACATATTCAAATTATGATCAACGTGCATTTAAAACTTCTGCATAAAATATTCTCATTGGGTTTACTTTTCCACAAGATCAGTAAATAGAATCCACTGGCCCTGAGAAATCAGGACTCAACTATCCGCCAAATATGGACTGTCTCAGTGAACACCCACAATTCTCAGTAAACAGAGGAACAGAGAGCTTATACTTACAACTCTCCCTCAAAACCCACTGTGTCCATTTCTATGGTATGGAACTATGGGGTTTCAACAGAGCAGATGAATAGGCTCAGGGTTTCTTTTAATGAAAATTTCAGGCCTTGTCTTTTGGCCACTGAGGTGGTTGTTTCCCAGCCTACCAAAAATAATCTTTTCATCTTGACTATCAACCACTCTGGATTTTTTTTTTTTTTTTTTTTTTTTTTTGAGATGGAGTCTCACCCTGTCACCCAGGCTGGAGTGCAGTGGCATGATCTCGACTCACTGCAACCTTCACCTCCCGAGTTCAAGCGAGTCTCCTGTCTCAGCCTCCCGAGTAGCTGGGACTACAGGCACACCACACCACGCCCGGCTAATTTTTGCATTTGCAGTAGAGATACGGTTTCACTGTATTGGTCAGGCTGGTCTTGAACTCCTAACCTTAGGTGATTCACCCACCTTGGCCTCCCAAAGTGCTGGGATTACAGGCATGAGCCACCATGCCTGCCCACTCTGGATTTAAGGACAGTTCTTCCTTCAATCAGCAGCCAAAGTGTCTTGATGCATGATTCTAATTAAGAAGTTTAACTTTATTCTATTTCTGATGGAAGGCTGGCTGAAAGAAGGGAGACTCAAATGACAGATGAAGGCAAAATACTCTACTGAATTTTCAAGGTAATCTTAACTTCTGTTTAATCGAGCTGACCCAAATTCTTAACTGCCTCATAAACACTGTTAATAAATTGAAAGTTTTGCCCTAGGCTTTCATTAAAGTCAACTATATAGAAGAAGTTTCTCCTATGTCTTGAAATTTATTATTAAAGACATCATCTTAACAATCTTCCATATTCTCTGTTTAGGAACCCAAATTGTTTTCAAATTCAAGAATTCAGGGAAATCCTACTTCTTACAAAAGAGTAGAATGAACAAGGAGCACCAAAGTATATTTTAATAAAAATTCATGTAAGCGAGTTCAAAATTTCATTAACTATTTTATATAAAATAAAAGCCTAGGAGACTTCTGTTTCTAGCAGAGTGGCAGACTGATGCCTTGAACAACCCTCTTATTACAAAACTGAATATTCCACAAAAAGAACAAATCTTTTCAAATGCATTGTTAAGCTTTGAGGAGAATAATGAAAGTTCTAAGAAACCAACATGTAAATAAAAACAGAAGTCCAGACAGGCACTGAAAACCTAAAATAAAATAAATAAAAAAACCTGAACAAGCCAGCTGTCAGCAAGCATGTGCAACAGCAGGAACTCTTTAAGCTGCTGGTGGTGGTGGAGGTCAAGCCACTGCACCCCCAGAACACAACACAAAAACCTCAGAACTGAAGCAGAGCATAGGTGCCCTGAAGCTCCCACCCCACCCAGGAAGCCTCCAGCAGAAGTGTGTGTGCCCCTGAACACCTGCAAGTCCCATATCCAGACCTTGGTGTTCAGGGCCATGGGACGACGACCAAAAATGGAAAACCATTTTACCCACCAATGGATAAATGGTGACACAATCATATAATGGAACTCAACAATGACAATAAATGAATGTCTGCCATAGATAAGAACATGGATGTGTGCTATAATACTGAATCAAAGAAGCTAGGCTCAATAGAATGTGCTGTATTTTATAAAAGTCACAACCAGGCAGAACAAATCCACGTCAGGAACTGGGAAAGCGGCTATTCTGGGGGGCAGGATGAGATTGCCTGGGAGAGGCCACAGGGCGAGGCTACTGTTTGGTCCAGGGTGTGGCAGCTTGGTGTGCCACACCACAGTTCATCTAGCTGTACACTTAGGATTTGGGCACTCTTCTGCATGTACACTAACATTTCAATAAAAAGCTTATTGAAACATTCAAACTTCCATAAAAACCCACATTGCTTCAACAGAAACCTAGCTGACAAAGAAATCAAGAAAACAACCTTATTTATAATAGGATCAAAGAAAAACAAAAACTCAGGAATAAATTTAACCAAGAAGGTGAAAGATATGTACACTTGAAAATCATAAAACATTGATGAAAGAAATTTAGACATGAACAAACGGAAAGATGTCCTATGTTTATGGATCAGAAGAGCTAACATTGTTAAAATATTCACACTACCCAAAGCAAATATACAGATTTAACACAATCCTCATCAAAGTTCTGATGACATTCTTCAGAGAACAGAAAAAAAAAAAACCAATCCTGGCTCACGTCTATAATCCCAGCATGTTGGAAGGCCGAGGCAGGTAGATCACGAGGTCAGGAGTTGGAGACCAGCCTGGACAACATAGTGAAACCCCATGTCTACTAAAAATACAAAACTTGGCTGAGCATGGTGGCATGTGCCTGTAGTCCCAGCTACTTGGCAGACTGAGATTGCAGTGAGTCGAGATCATGCCATTGCATTCCAGCTTGGGTGACAGAGTGACACTTCATCTCAAAAAAACAAAAACAACACACACACACACACACAAACCCCAAAACAAACAATCCTGAAGCTCATATGGAACCACAGAAAACCCCAAACAGCCAACAGATTACTGTGAAAGAAAAAGTTGAATCCATCACACCTCCTGATTTAAAATTGTATTACAAAGCTATAGTTAACAAAACAGTATGGTACTGGCATAAAAACAAACAAACAAACAAACAAACAAGACCAATGGAACAGAACAGAGACCTCTG